AGAACTCACGATCTAATTCTATTGACAGTTATGAGAAAGGCATCCAGAAACCGTCCAATTTACACTTGGCAACTATTTCTTGGGCACCTGCCGTGTTTGGAGTTCTAGGTGTGTAGGTGTCAGTGTCTACGAAGCCCTGCACATCCAGGGACCGCTGGAACGTTGTTCTTGTCAACTACGGCCAGGTGACAAGCACCTGAAGATCCAGAGACAGACAAACACCTCTCACAGGGAGCAGAACTGTGGACTCTTTTTTGAGGGGAAGGAAAGTGGAGGTAACACCCAAATAAAAATAGTACTTTTTTTCTGACAAATAATAAATGTTCATATCAAATGATTCAAATAGTTCAGAAAAGAATAAGCATGAAAGTAAAAATGACCTGGAATTCCACCACCTAGAGATAACTACAGATGCAACTTTAGGAGACCATCCATACGGCTTGCTCTGGTTCATACCCAGACCTGAACCAAATCACTTCATTATACAGGAGGTGTTTTACTGGGGGCCCATTTTCTTTAGTTCTTTTCCCCTACGCTGCTAGTGTTTTGTTTATGTGTTTGTGCAGACCTCCCCGCCAAAGGTAACTGATGTGGAGAGTTTGGAGTACATCCTTTCACACCTTTCTCAAATACTTCACTACAAACATAGCTACAGAACAACATTCAGTTCTCTGCTCTTTGATGCAAGGAGCTGGCATATTAAAGAGATCCATCCCAAACCTACTAAATTAATACCTTGAAATGTGGGCCCCTGAATCTGTATTCCTAAGACTCAGAACATGGAATTCAGGGTATTCTGGTGCTACCGGCTGTATTCTAGTGAGCAGGGAAGACCATCTAGTGAAGGCTCTTGTTGCTTTAAGTAGAAGGGATTAGTTGGAGATTCTGACCAGGAGGATCTTGAACATGGTAACAGGCCAACAGACGGAGGTTTCAGGTAAAGAAACAGTTTGTACAAAGGCACAGATATAATAAAGTTCAGGGTGTGAAGGAGACGGCAAAGAGTGTGGATGTCCAGGTAGGGGCTGTGGAAGAATATGAGGCTGGAAAGATTCAAATTAAAGAGGGCTTTGCCCGTAATTCCAGCTATTCAGGAGGCTAAGGCAGGAGGATTGCAAGTTCAAGGCCAATTTGGGCAACTTAGACTCCACCTCAAAAAAAAAAAAAAAAAAAAATTGAGGCATGCTTTAATCCCAGGCTAAGGAACTTAAAAATAATGATTTGTGGAGATAAGGTCTTGCTGTTGTCCAGTGTGTTAGTCAGTTTTTTGTTGCTGTGACAAAATACCTGAGAAAAGCAACTTTTTAAAGGAGGAAAGGTTTATTTTGGCTCCTTTGGTCACGTGGCTCTGTTGATTCTGGGCCTGAGGTGAAGCAGACCATCATGGCAGCAAGGGCCTGAGGAAGTGAGTTGCTCCCCTCATGGCAGCCAGAAAGGAGACAGAGGGGAGAGGACAGGAGAAGGAGAAAGAGAGGGCTCCAGAGGTTGGGGACAAGATATACTTTTGCAGGGCCTGTCCCCAGTGACCTACTTCCTGCAACTAGGCCCCACCTCCTAAAGGCTCCCAATAATGCATCAACCCATTAGTGGATTAAGCCATTGATGAGCTTAGAGCCCTCATGAGCCAATAACCCCCCCACCCCGCCTTCCCCTCTTCTGAGCCTTGCTGTGCTAGAGATCAAGGGAGTCTTCCAGATGCAACCCATAACACCCAAGTTGGCCTTCAACTCCTGGGCTCAAGCCAGCCTCCTTCCTCAGCCTCCAAGTAGCTGGAACTACAGGCACACACCACCATGCCTGGCAAACAAAATCTTGTAATCTTGTACGGGTCTTTTTTTTTTTTTTTTTAATCTTTTTTTCCAGTGCTAGGGATGGAATCCAGGGTCTTGCACATGCTAGGCCAGCACTCTGCCACTGCCCTCACCCCCAGCTTGGGAGTCAAAGCTAAATATTGTCCTGCTGCATTCTCTAAATGATGGAACACAGGACGGTTTTAGGTGATATGGACCCCTTTGGTCATGTACGGAGAACACTGTCTTTATAGTTCCTTTGAAAATGATCACATCAAAGAGGAAGCCTCAGTCAGGAGCTAGTCTATCTATAACATTCTTCTGACAGTGGCTAATTTCCTTTTAATACAAAGGGGACAGGCCTCCGGCTTAGAGGCCTGGCATGAAACCAGACCAAGGGAGAAGACGTCACTCATTTATTCTCTATTTATGGTAAGGAATCCTTTTGTTGTTGTTGTTTATAACTTTTTTTCTTTTAAAACACATTTGTTTGATTTTTTTGAAAAGCGAGTTGATAGGACCCCAAACTTCTAACTAAATAGTGGTATAGGTGGCACTCAAATGTGGCAAAAAAAAAAAATGCAGGTGGTCCTGGGTTCCTGCATTGGAGAAATAATGTTATAGGAAATGGGGAGCTATTGAAGGTTGTTGAGCAGGAGAGTGACCTTGAGTTTTAAGGAGATGATTCTGACAGCAGGATGCACCCATCTATTCCACGGGTATTTATTGAACAAACAACTGATGGGTGCCAGACAGTGTGCAGGTGTCTGGACATAGAGTGTGAGTCCAGTGTGGTCTCTGCCCCCCAGGAGCTCATCGTCTGATGGACCAAACTGATGTTTAAATAGGAGATGAGGCAGCAGTAGGTGGGTGGTGGAGGGCCGACTGCAGATCAGGGGCGCCCTCTGATGGGTTTGCAGGTGGTATGATTCAGCTGATGGTGTAATTCAAGGCCAAAATATTTGTGACACAGTGAGGACTCAGGAATTCTGAGATTGGCTAGAGTGGTCCCCATCAGTGGGATACTCAGGGCAGGCTTCCTGGAGAAAGGGCCCAAACAGGGACTTGGACATCATCATCATCATGGTCAACATTGCCCGGGAGGCCAACTCTTCAGGAACAGAAAGGCCAGTGCCAAGTGTTTACACCATATTTAACCCTCATAAAACTCTATGAGGAAGTATCGTTACCACTCCTTCCTTGCAATAAAAAGCAGGTGCATAGCTGGGTGTGGTAGTTCACACCTGTAATCCCAACCCTTATGGAGGCTGAGGCAGGAGGACCGAGAGTTCTAAGCCAGCCTCAGCAATTTAGGGAGGCCCTAAGCAATTTAGCAAGACAGTGTCTCCAAAAGAAAAGAAAGAAAAAGGGCTGGGGATGTGGCTCAGTGGTTAAGTGCCCCTGGGTTCAATCCCTGGCAAACAACAACAACTAAAAACAAACAAAACAAAAACAAACTAAAAAACCAAACAGGTGCAAAGAGATTCAGGCCACCGCCTCCTGTCCCAGAGCTCCTAAGTAATGGAGCTGAGATGGAAACCCAGTTTTTTTGGTCTCTGGAGCTCATCAGGAATGGGAGGAATATCAGGTTGGCCTTCTGAACACCAAAGAAACGACCCCAAACCTCCCACCCGACCAGATCTGCAGCACTTGCCTATTTCCACGAAAAAGCTTCAACGTGGCCAATCTGGCTTCCCAGGGTTTGGGGCAGGAGGCGAGGAGAGAAATTTTGGAGGAAACACAGCGCCATCTGTCGGCCACCCTGTGAACTACCAGCTCGAGGTTTTCCTGCGAAGGTTGAAGGAGGCAACGTTCCACGATGTCATCACGACTTCCTGAGGCTGAGTTTATGGCCGCTCTTGAGATAAAGAGCAAAGTGCCTTGAAAAAAATTACTGCGGAGCAGGAAATGAAGGTGGTAGAATCCAATATAATGCCAAAGTTCGAGCAGTGGTGCAAAGCCTGCCACATGAATTCCATGAATCCTACTGCAGGTGTATAAGTGAACCAAAAGATGATTTTTCAAGTTATGCACATTATTTTTTTCAAGCAGATGCTCAATTGTTAGGTCATAAATATAAGTCGTTTTTATCTGCCTACTTACTAAACGTGACTGCTATTTTGGTGGGAAGAGGTGGTTATGAGTGTCCTCAGATGCGGAGCCTGCTTTGAACCACAGAAGGTCAGGGCATCATGCCCTTTATGCAAAGTTGTCTCAAAAACCCTATCAGAGCCATACTTCTGTTTTAAAGATGGTCAAGAAAAACTAACTCAGCCAGGCACGGTGGCGCAGGCCTGTAATCCCAGCAGCTCAGGAGGCTGAGGCAGGAGGATCACAATTTCAAAGCCAGCCACAGCAAAAGCGAGGTGCTAAGCAACCCAATGAGACCCTGTCTCTAAATAAAACACAAACTAGGGCTGGGGATGGGGCTCAGGAGGCAAGTTCCCTTAGGTTCAATCCTTAGTACCAAAAAATATAAAATAAAGAAGAAGATTAACTAACTCACTTGCCCAAGGCCACCCCGTTGCAGGTGGACACAGTGAAATTCAAAGACAATCCTGGGTGCTTCTCAAGAATACAAGCTGCCCGACTGGAGGATGTTATGTTGAATGAAATAAGCCAGGTACATGTTCTCACTTATACATGGCCGTCAGCATGTCCTGTGCAGCCAGACCACCTGGCTCAGGGGGACTGAGACCTCAGCTCTGAAGGACTCTGAGTTGACAGTTATTTAATCCTCAGAGCTTCCCTTTCTCCTCCTGCAGGATGGGAATAATAATGGTCCCAAGTCATAGTTTTTCTGAGAATTTGCTACATGACTAAAGCACAGTGCATGACTCAGTGTACACAGTCAGAATATCAGCATCTGAGGAAGGCGGCCTCCCTCTGTGTAATCCCATGGCAGAAGGCAGAAGGGCAAGGGAGGGGGGCGGTGCCAGGCAAGAGAAGTCAAATTCACTTTTGTGCCAGATCCACTTTTTTAACTGCTAACCCACTCCTGCCCTCAGGATCTACCTGCTTATTATGAGGCCTCACCACTCAACACTGTCACACTGGAGATTAAGTAGCATGTGAACTTTGAGGGAAATATTCAAACCATAGCAGACTGGATTCAAGCCCCAGGGCATGCCCACACCTGCACGGACAGACACACACACACACACACACACCCCACATACACAAACAAAAAACTACAGGACATAGTTGCACTGAAATTTAGCCATTCATTTATTTAACCAGTATTTATTGAGCACCTACTATGTATGGATAAGGCAATATACTAGGCCTTGGGAATACAGCATGAACAAGACAGACCAAAAAGCCCTGCCCTCATGGGACTTACATTCTAGCAGAGGACTATTTATGAGACAAAATCAACATAATACATAAGTAAATTATAGAGCAGCACCAGTGGAAATATAATGTGAGCTACATATGTAAGTTATTTATTTATTTGTTTGGCAGTGCTGAGAACGGAACCAGGTCCTTGCACATAATAGGCAAGTACTCCACCACTGAGCTATACCCCCAGACCTATATATATTCAATTTAAAAGTTTCCAGTAGTACCATTAAAAAAGTAAAAGAAACAGGTGAAGTAACTTTTTTAATTTTAAAAATTAGAAAGTATAATTTTCATTAATCAAAATTATATTCAATTCAAACTATTTAAAATTCAAGTTAATTTAAGTGAATTTAAATGACCTATAAATATTAAGATTAATATATTAGAATATTAGAATCTATCCGAATATTAGAATTAATGTATTTAAAATTAACTTTTTAGTCTAATTTTTTTGGATGTGGCATTGAGGATTGAACCCAGGGGCCCTCCACCATGGAGCTACATCTCTGACCCTTTTTATTTTAAATTTTGAGACAGGATCTGCTAAGTTCCCCTGGTTGGCCTTGAACTTGTCATCCTCCTACCTCTGCCTCCCGAGATTACAGGCGTACGCCACTGGGCCTGGCAATTTTTTTAAATTTAAAATTTCAGCCTGGTATGTCCAACATATTATTAGCAGTTCAACAAGAGGCTCAGCCGCGGTTCAGATTGTTAGTAATGGCTTGGGGCTGTGCCACTTGCTGTGTTGGAGGAGGTTGGAGGTTGGGCAAAAGGAAGAGATTCAGGGAAAGGGACCAGGAACACCAGGTGGGGAGGGAAGGGCATCGAGCTGACGCAGGGCAGGAGACAGGGAGACACACAGACTGTCTCTTGTAACCAGCCCTCGGGCTCTCCTGCCCCACAGGCAGGGCTTCTGGGCCATGGCTCCTTTTCCTTCCTTCCATGGCCAAGCACGCCCCTGGCTCCCCAGAACCCTGAAAGGTACCTCTGGACACCACCCAGCTTGGCAGGAAGCCCCTCAGCACCACCCCAGTGAAACTCCGGAGTTTCCAGGGGCTCAGGGAGGTTCCCGCGGTCAAAGCAGGTTCTGGTGACCCCAGCCCCAGCCGCGGGAACCACACGGGTCTACCTTCTCTCTCCGTGGGTTTGCCTGTTCTGCAAATCTCGTGGAAATGGAACGAGGCCTGCTGTGACCAGCTTCTTCACTTAGCATGTCTGCAAGGTCCATACAGGCAGTGTCATGGGTCAAAACGTCATTCCTTATCATGAGAGAATGATATACTATTGTATGTTGTACATCTTGCACTTTGTTAATTCATATGTTGATGGTAGTTATGTTGTTTTTTTTTTGGGGGGGGTCCTGGGGATTGAACTCAGGGGCACTAGACACTGAGCCCCACCCCCAGCCCTGTTTTGCATTTTATTTAGAGACAGGGTCTCCCTGAGTTGCTTGGTGCCTCTCAGTTGCTGAGGCTGGCTTTGAACTCGCGATCCTCCTGCCTCAGCCTCCTGAGCTGCTGGGATTGCAAGCGTGCGCCACTGCACCCGGCTGGATATTTATGTTTTCTCCCCACTTTTTGGCTACTATGAATAATGGTGCTGGGAATATCCGTGACGTTTTTTGGGTTGTTTTGGTTTTGGTTTTGGTGGTGCTGGGGATCTGAGCCAGGGCCTCATGCATGTCAGACAGACACTCTCCACTGAGCTCCAGCCCCAGGACTCGAACGTGAGAATTTTTGTATGGACACGTGCTTTTAGGGGTTTGCCTTGATTTTAATTTTTAAAATCCATTGCATAAAATCTTGATTACTAAGGTTGTGGGTGCCCCCTGAAAATTTGTACTGAGGCAAGTGCCCGGCTCCTGTCCACCTAGTCCCATCCCACAGGTCTAATCCCTTCCTGTGTGACTTTGGCCACGTTGCTTCACCTCTCAGAGCCTAGATTTCCTCCTCTATAAAATGGAGACAATCCCTGCACCCACTCACAGTGAAGTAAAGGCACACATTACAGACCCAGCGCCATCCCTGAGCACAGGCCTGGTGTAGTGTGAGAGGGTCCCCAAATGAACAGGACCTAGCTCTGTCCTTGACAGCTGGCCCAGTGGCGTAAAACTTCCTGTGGCTTCTATTCCCCTAAAGAAATGGGCTTTCTGCGTCCTTCTGCCTTAGCCTGACTTCCTGCAAGGCCCTGGGGGTGGGCCCCAATGCTGCCCCCTGGCTCCTAGCACCTTCTGTCCAGCTGCCATGGTCCCCCCTCCGCCTCCCCACCCTCCCCTGCCCACTCCCACCGAAGGCCACGCTCGGGCCCTCTGCGGCCATGAGGCCTGCACTCTGCAGGGCTGAAGTCCAAAGTTCAGTCCCCGCGCTAAGCACACGGATAAATATGAACCTTGGAGAATTTCCCCAGCTCCAATGTAAACAGCAGGCAGGGGCCTGATTCACCGGCCGCTGGGGCCAGGGTTGGGGGCTGGGGGTGCCCACTGGGCTTGGCTCGTGGGTTTGGGGGGGCAGCGGTGCAGGAGCCTGGCTCGTGGCTGCCGGCAGGCCAGTGGAGGCCCTCGGGCGGGGGAGGTGGCAGCTGGTGGCCCGGCCGCGTGGCCCTCGGCGGAGCCATGGTGGCCAAGCTGAGCCAGCTGCAGACCGAGCTCCTGGCCGCGCTGCTCGAGTCGGGCCTGAGCAAGGAGGCGCTGATCCAGGCCCTGGGGGAGCCGGGGCCCTACCTGCTGCCCGGAGAGGGTCCCCTGGACAAGGGGGAGGCCTGCGGCGCCGGTCGAGGGGAGCTGGCTGAGCTGCCCAACGGGCTGGGGGAGACGCGGGGCTCCGAGGACGACACGGACGACGACGGGGACGACTTCACGCCGCCCATCCTCAAAGAGCTGGAGAACCTCAGCCCCGAGGAGGCGGCCCACCAGAAGGCCGTGGTGGAGACCCTTCTGCAGTAAGGACCCCTCCCCGTCCCCAGCTGCCAGGAAGGAGCCCCCAGGGCCACCCTCCGCTCTGACCAGCCCCTCTGCCAAGTCCAGAGTCCTCCTGAGCCGTGGCCTTCAGCTTAGCTGTCGGGGAAGGGGACAGGGCCCAGGCCAGCGCTCGGGGGTCCCTGTTCAGAGGTTGGAGCCTCCAGACACCAAGAGCCACGGTCTTTGGCCGTGTCCTCGGGAAGTGGGGACAAGCCCTGGGGAAGCTCTGGGACAGGGACCCCAGACACCTGGAGAACAGAGGGGGTGGGAAATCCTTAGCCATGTGGCCCTTCGTACCCCTAGTCCCTGGCTCCCCACGAAGTGCTCAGATGGTCGGCCCCGGGGGCAGAAAGCACCTCTGGGAGGCAGAGCTGAGACTGGGGTTTTGGGGGGCTTCCCTGGCCCCCCCCACGGGGAAAGTCCAGGTCTTTCTTAGCTGAGGCAGAGGGGACTTCGGGGTGGGAACTCTTACCTCTCCTGCACCGCCACGGGTCCCCAGCAGGCTGCATGTCGAAGCCCCCCAGTACTGTCCTGTACCCCCATCCGCTGGCCTTCTCCCCACTCCTGGAGAACTGGGTGGGTCCCTGGCGATGCCTCCCCTCTCCCCAGCCGAGCTGCCCTGGTTACTAATTACCCACGCGCTTTATTATTTCTCTTTTGTTTTATAAATTTATAAACAGCAAAAGGCTCTGATAAAAGCTGTGATCATTAACTTGTAGGATCGTGGCCCGCAGAGGCAGGAGCCACCCCCCAACCCCGCCGTGGGGGTGGAGAATGGGAGAATGGGGGGCACCGGGTTGGGGGAGAGCAACCTGGGGGCTACGGGACCACCAGTCCCCCAAGCTCCCTAGGCTCCCCGCTGACGGCCACTGTTCCTGCAGCCCGTCTGCCTGCCGAGGGGCCCTGTGTGTGATGTGGAGCTGAGCCCGGGGAGGAAGCTGTTGACCACTCTGCTTCACAGATGAGGAAACTGAGGCACGGAGCCGGAAGGCACTCTGGCCAGGAGCCAGGGCCCAGCTGGGGGAGGCTGAGGATTTGAGGGAGTGCTCCAAAGTGCTCTGTGGGGGACCGTCTTTTCTGTCCAAGTGCTGATCCCTGCTTGGGGTGGGGGAGGCTGGTGGAGGGACCTTCTCAGAGGCTCAGGGAGCCTCGTGGGGCCCTCGGCAGGGGGCAGGGGAGCAGCCAGGCCCCCGACTTGGCAGGAAGAGGAGGGCAAAGGCTGCGGCTCTGCAGGGGAGGGGCAAAGAGCCAGGCAAGGCCAGACCCAGGGCGAGGGCCACCTGGACAGGGTGGGGCTGGGCCTGACCTGCTCAGGGTCCCAGGTGGAACTGGGGGGCTTTGGGGAGAGGGCTGGGGTAAGGGGCACCAAGGGTCTTTCTTACCTGGCTCTGGGGGGCCTCTGGATCAGCAGCCCCTGTGGTGGGATGGTGGGGCGAGGGAGGCTTGTTCCACAGCATTTGGGGGGGAGCAGAGGTCAAAGTGTCCTTGGGGACCAGCAGAGATCTGGAAGCTGGGGGGAAGAGGGACAGCAGGGAGGAAAGGAGAGGCTGTCGGGGAGGCCGAGAGAGAGGGCAGAGGAGCCAGGAGGGGAGAGGGGTTCAGGGCCAGCTGGGAGAAGGGGCAGGGGAGAGAGTGAGGCACCCCAAACTGGGAGGAGGCCGGAGTGCCTCCCTCCTGCCCCGATTGGGTTTTCTTTAATGCTAACAGCATGCTATTTACTTTCCATTTAAATTTGAGATGTTGCTATAAATTATCAACCAGCTCCTCATTCCTGCAGAGTTTATAACTAACTACCTGGGTTACTTATTGTTCAGGTAACAAAAGGGATCTGAAACGCCCCAGGGATAAAAGGGGGGCCTTCAGCCTCAGGGCAGGGGAGAGGACCCCGGGGAGAGGGCTGGGGGACCCCTGATGGAGGCCTGGGCAGTGGAGAGGCTGAGGCTGGGGAGACCACAGAGGCAGGACCTGCAGCTGGAGATCTTTGTGTGGAGCAGGGGGTATCTGGGAAGAGGCAGGGAGGGTCCCATGTTTGAGGCCACAGCAGGAACCTAAGTTCTTCCCTCAGGTCTCCACCCTCAGTCCACTGTGTGACCTTTGGGAAGTCCCTCCCCTTCTTCTACCTCAGTTTCCTTATGTACAAAATAAAAGTAACCTGAATTCCCTGGTTCCACCCCGCTGCCAGCTGACCACCTTCCCTGGCCTCTTCTCTGGCCTCTTCCCTGGCCTCCACGCTTTCTCATTTTGCTCCCTTATGCTGACTTTGCTGCCCCTCAACACACAAGTTGATTCAACCTCTGGGCCTTTGCACATGCTGTCCCTATTGCTCAGAACCTCTTTTCCTGATCTTCCCGGCTTTTAGCTCCCTGGTTGCCCCATTCATAGGTGGGCCTCACCCCCATCTCTCTCCTTCACCACTTTCACCTTCCCTTTCACCTTCATTTAGTTATTATGATCATATTTGTTTTCTGTCACCTGCCATGAAAATAGGTCTCCTTCACCACTCACACCTCCCAGCAGCAGCCCTGGGGCTGACCTGAGACATGTGGGAATGATGGACCAGTCTCCGAGGCCCTGAGAGCACCTAGCTAAAGGAGGTCCAGGGTTCCATCCTGAGCATCCTGCAGGCCCCCCCCCCAGTCCTGAACAGCTCAAACCCCAAAGCTGGAGCTCTGTGCTCCTCCTCGTCAAGCAGCGCCCAGGCACTGAGAGCTAGGAAGACAGTGGCTGAGGTGGGACAAAGGACCTGACTGGGGCCAGCCTGCCTGGCCCTCATCCCAGTTCTGTTCCAGCTCAGGCAGCTGGTTTCAGTTTTCTAAGCCTCAGTTTCCTCTGCAAAGTGGAGATGAAAATCACATTCCCACCCAGGATTGAATGGCATGGTGCCCGCAGAACTGTGCATGGAGGACTCGCAGTGACGGGTAGCTGACCCTACTGTTTCAGGTGACCCCATTTTACAGACGATTCAATTAAGGTTCAGAGAGGCAAAGGACTCACCCAAGGTGACACTTCCAAGTACTGAGGCCAGGACTGGGCCTGCGGCATCCTATGCCCACTAGTGCGGAGCCCTGTGCCCATTAAACTCTGAGGCCCCCCAGGCTTCCAAATGCATGGGACTCGTTTCTCCCTCCTGAGGATCTCTGAGAGATGAGACATTTCTAGCCAGAGTTCACAGACAGGAAAACTGAGGCCAGGCTCCTTCCCAGGGCATTCCGATCCTGGGCAGCAGAGTTGAGATTCGGACTCAGATCTCAGGCCGGAGATGGGGGAATTCAGCTCCTCTTCTAGGGGAGCAGCCCTTCAGGCCAGTATCCCCCATTCCATGACCTTGGGGACCAGAGGACAAAAGGCCCAAAGTCTTGGCTGTCCGGTTGACCCCAGGGTGGGCAGAAGGCGAGAGCAGGAGGAGGTGGGCAGATCCTTGGGCTTCCTGGGCTCTGCGGGAGGCCGGGTCTGAAGGACCACATGGTGGATGGGGATGTGAGGGTGAGGACCAGCATCACAGTATCCTACCCTTACTGAGCCCCTCCTGAGGGCCAGGCCTTGCTCCAAACCCTCCCTGAACGCTCCTGACAGGTGTGAGGGGGCATGGATCACCCGTGTTTCCGAGCAGTGAGGGCAGGTGAGCTTACACAGCTGCGGGATCTGAACCCAGCTTGGTGCGACTCTCAAACCCACTGGGGTCAAAGCAGGATGCACCTGGGGCCTCGGTCTCTTAGTTCTGAGCTGGGGAAGCTGTCCCGGGAAGGGTCAGGTCCTTGGAGACCAAGGGGGTGCATGAGTGTAAGAGAGGGAGTGACCGAGAGACAGAGACCAACTCAGTAGGTTCTAGAAAAAAGGAGCACTGGCTACTTTCCCCAGAAAAGGGAAAGGGAGGCCCTCTTAGCTTTTGTTTGCAGACTGACTGTTTTATTTTTATCCTTTGGTACTGAGGTGTGAACCCAGGGCTTTATCTATGAGTAGTTACATTCACAGCCTTTTAAATTCTTTTCTTTTAATTTTGAGACATCATTTTGCTAGATTGCTGAGACTGGCCTCAAACTTGCAGATCCCCCTGCCTCAGCCGATCGAGTTGCTGGGATCTTAGTTACGCATCACGATGCCTGGCCTGATTGGCATTTTAAATTCATTTTTTTGTGCATCTGTTGTCTAACTTTACTAGGTGTTGTTCTTTATTATTATACCTCTGTTTTATTTATTTTTTTAATGTAGTACTGAGGTTTGAACCCAGTGCCTCACATGTGCTAGGCAAGTGCTCCACTGCTGAGCCACAACCCCAGTCCCAGGAATTGTTTAAAAATGGAAAGTTCTGCCAGGTGTGGTGGCACATACCTGTAATCCCAGTGTCTTGGGAGACTGAGGCAGGAGGATCTCAAATTCTGAGAGCCTCAGCAATTTAGTGAGGCCCTAAGCAACTCAGTGGGACTCTGTCTCTAAATAAAATATAAAAAGGGCTGGGGATGAGGCTCAGTGGTAAAGTGACCCTGGGTTCAATCCCTGGTACAAAGAAAGAAAGAAAGAAAGATCCTATTAACTGAGTTTAATGCTTCTGCTTGTCATTTTCCCCATCCAGGTAACTGTCCTATGTTTGTGGAAAGTGGCTGGACTTTATTTTATTTGACCTGGTGTGCAGGAGAGAGAGAGAAAGAGAGAGAGAGAGAGAGAGAGAGAGAGAGAGAGAGAGAGAGAGAGAGGCAGAGAGAGACATGGGTCAGAGGGACAGCTACATAGATTTTCAATCTGAGCCCAAGAGAGGCCCTGGGGAGAGGACTGACCCCATTCTCCAGGGAGGAGAGAAAGGGGAGGGAGGAGCAGGGAGCAGGAGGGGGCAGCTGCCACCAGGGGCAGGGGCGGGGAGGCCATCAGATAAACATGTTTGCCCGCTGCACAAGGCTGGACTTTGTACTGCCCTTCCCTCCTAGCTCTGAGTGGCACCCAGGGAAGGGGGAGGTGGCAGAGGCTCCCAGGAGCCCCTGATCACAGAGCGAGAAGCCAGGGAGGGGCGGGCAGGCCCCAACAACACAAAATATTCTTGCACCCCAGTTAGGTCACCTTGACAACAGCCTCACCTTCCTGAGCCTCGGTTCCTCACCAGGGGAGTGGGCATCCCAGTCGAGCCTGCTTCCTGGGTTATTATGAGATTAAATGGTCACCCACAGGACAGTGCTGGGCTCATGGCAAATAATCAAGGGTCATTAATTCTCATCATTGTCATTTTTCACACAAGTGGGACTTTGCAGTACTACGCTGACCAATTTTGACTTACCTGTCCCCACCTTCCTTTCCTCCCTGCTCTGCCGTCAGAGAACTGCTGATAAGGAGGAGGAAGTCAGAGGGTCCAAGTGACAAAGGCTGGGGTCCCTGATCCCTGTGGAGGGCACTGCCTCCTGAGGGAGCCAGGCAATCGCTGCTTCTTGGAGGGAGAGAAGGCTGTGGGGTGGCTTCTGAATCTAGGGGGTTGCAGTTTCATTTAAAATCGTCTATACAGTGGAGCCCTGTATCTGCAGGTTCTGAATCCTTGGCTGCTAAGTCTGCAGATTCAACCAACAGTGGATTGAAAATACTCAGAAAAAAATGTGTCCATTTGGAACACAGAGAATTTTCTTGTCTGGATTCCCTAAAGAACACAGTGAAATAATTAGCTCTACAGCACTGACGTTGTATTAGGTATTATAAGGAAGCTGGAGATGGCTCAGAGTATGCAGGTGAGTGTGGCAGGTTCTCTGCGAATACCATGGCATTTTATACAAGGGACTTGAGCATGTCCAAGTCCATGGATTTTGATGTCCAAGGGGGACCTGGCAGCGGGATCCCCCTTACTGAGGGACTGTATGAATTATAGTATATGATACAAAATTGCAATGTATCAAGTGATTTTAAAAGTACAGAAGAGCTACAGAGAAAACCGTCCCTCTCATCCTGTCCCCAGCCCCGCCCCCTGAGGGTCACCTGCATCTCCGGGTCCTGGCACGCCTTTCTGGTATTTCACATGTGCACAGTCAAACATGGAGAAAGCCTGTTTCACCGCCCTTTACATTTTACTCAAATGGGAAAAAACAAATTTTACACAAATAAAGCAGAGTGGACGTCCCTAACTGCTCCGGGCGGCTGCGCACAGGGCTTCTGCAGGAGCTCCCAGGGCGCAGTCAGGACGCAGCCTCTTTTTGCTGGACTGGTTGCTTGCTTGGGGTCTTCTGCCCGGGCAAGCAATGCAGCAAGAGTTGCCTTCTATGAGCGCCATGTGTCATGTGTGCAAACAGTGGAAGCCTCAGATTCTAGAAGCAGATCGCTGAGTCAAGCCCGGAGGGGAGAACGGGGGCTTTGGAATCACGCAGATGTGGGTTCGAATCTCGGTTCCGCCAGTTCCAGCGCCGACGTCCTGATCTGCATTTCCGTTTGTACTGTAAGCGAGGGGTGGGGGCTTGGGGCAGAGCAAGAGAAGAGAGAATTGATACGGTATGGGCAGTCTGATCCCTTCTTTCCTCACAGGGAGACTCACAGTGAGCAGAGGATAGAGACATGGATCACAGGTGACCTCAGGCCCCTTGAGTCACTCTCCTGGAGAGCTTCAGTCCTCAGAGTGGGATTCCAGAACTCAGTTTTATTTTGGTTTTGGTGCTGGGAATCCAACCTGGAGCCTTGCACATGCTAGGCAAGCAATCTACTCCTGAGCTACATCCCAAGCCCTTTTTATTTTTTGTTTTGAGATAGGGTCTTGTGATGTTGCTCAGGCTGGACTCGAACTTGTGATCCTCCTGCTAGAATGACAGGCTGCTTTACTGTGCCCAGAAAAACACAGTTGTTGTTGTTATTGGTGGTACTGGGGATTGAATGCAGGAGTGCTCTACCACTGAGTGACATCTCCAGCCCCCTCCCCTCCTTTTTGAGAAAGGGTCTTGCTAAGTTTCCGAGGCTGGCCTCAAACTTGTGATCCTCCTGCCTCAGCCTCCTGAGTCACTGGGATTCAGTGTGCACTACTGAGTCTGGATGAAAAAAACAATTTTGTTGTAATGAGGGTTCTGAATGCAGCCTGCAGCCTGGGTTCACCTGGGCCTCTGCTGGTGCCGTGGAGAGACTGCTAGGCTGCTGCCAAGGGCTGAGGGCAGATTTCAGGCATTTTGACCCTATGATTTTGCCTGATGGGCTGACTTAGAACTGAATCCCTTTAGTTAGGGTGGGACCCTCTAGGCCAGCCTTGTGACCTTGGGCAAGAGACAAGAGTAATTCCGGCTCTCTGAATCTCAGTGATGCTGGCTGTAAGCCAGAAGGATCCACATTTCTGCTTTTTGTCCCCAGTGGGTATCCTCCATACCCATCCATCCTCTGTCCATCTGCCCACACATCATTTCATCAGCCCTTCCATCTGCCCTTAGTTCCCCCTGTCTGTGCATCCATCTACTTACCCACGCACCCTTCCATCCGTCCTTCCAACCACTTATTCCCATGTTCCCCTATCAATGGCATATTCTAAGTCAGGCCCATTTTGGTGCTGAGAGGACAGTTCTTGCCCTCGAGGTGCTTACCGTTTCTCCAGGTGGGTAACACACATTTAACATTCCCAGGGCCAGGCCAGGTGCACACCTGCCATCCCAGCAGCTTGGGAGGCTGAGGCAGGAGGATCGCAAGTTCAAAGCCAGCCTCAGTGACTTAGCAAGGCCCTAAGCAACTCAGTGACACTCTGTCTCTAAATAAAATATAAAAAAGGGCTGGGGGTGTGGTTCAGGGGTTAAGCACCCCTGGGTTCAATCCTGAGCACCAAAAAAAAAAAAAAAAAAATCTCAGAGAGGATGAGGATGAGGGGAGGAATCCGTGGGAGTCTGTTCATGCCTATATCTGTGTCCATCTGTCTGTGTGTCCTCAGGCCTGTGTCCTAGGGTGACCGTACCTCCCTGTTCCTGCCTGGTGCAGCTCCTGGGCTCTGTATCCACCTTCCTCCACAATCCCCACCCAGGTGCAGAGGAGGTCTCAGGTCCCCAGGCCCCAGCCTCACCTGCTGGTTGGCAGGGGTCACCCGGCAGCCCACAGAGCTGACCCCGTCCTCGCTCTCTCGCAGAGAGGACCCATGGCGCGTGGCGAAGATGGTCAAGTCCTACCTGCAGCAGCACAATATCCCGCAGCGGGAGGTGGTGGACACCACGGGCCTCAACCAGTCCCACCTGTCCCAGCACCTCAACAAGGGCACCCCCATGAAGACGCAGAAGCGCGCGGCCCTGTACACCTGGTACGTCCGCAAGCAGCGAGAGGTGGCGCAGCGTAAGTAACCACCCCAGCAGGTCCCCGGGCTCGTCCCGGCCTCGACCCCACCTCGGGTGGGGCTGGAAGCTTCCCTGCCCCATTACACAGACAGGGAGACAGGAGCCAGCGGGACTCAATCCACATTTATTAAGGCACTCTGGGGGAGGGTGCAGGGTTGGTCCAGGGCGTCCAAAGATGGATGGACTGGACCCCTCCTGCCTTCCACGAACTCACTGTTTAGTGGGAAGGGGATGGAGACTGTTAGGTTACAGCGAGACATTATAACGTGGCAACAAAAACAACCATGAGATCTAGTATTTATTGAGCACTTACTTTGTGCCAGGCCCAGGGTAGAGTAGTCAGTATTTCAGAGTAGTGAGTTGACTGTGGAGGGGGGAGATTAATCTATTCTACCTCAGGGTGGCAGAGGTATCAGGAAGGTTCACACTGAAAGCATGACCTTTAGATAAGGTCTTCAGTGTGAGTCGAATTTTAACCTTTGGAGATGCAGGGAAGGGTGTTTCAAGCAGAGGAATGGCACCAGCAAAGACTCAGAGGCAAGGGGGTACACTCCACTGATAAACTGGGAAGACCCGGGTACACAGTTACTCTGGGAATGGTGAGTCTCCTTATTAAGGCTTCCCTCCCCCCAAGTTCCCAGTGCACTTGCACGCTCATTTATATGTAAAATTTTGACCTTTCTTTTATTCATTTTCCAGGTCTTAAAAAAGGCAATATGTATTTGGTTTTAAAACATGATAAAAATTAGGTGTCCTTCCCCTCAAGCAGCCACTGGCATTCCCAGGGTCCTGTGTATCCTTTCAGAGATATTGTATGCATATACTAGCTTTAGGTGTTTCTTTCCAGTCAATGGGAACATACTACACACAGTTTTGGCACCTTGCTTTTTTCTCTCAGCAATAAAATTAAGCCTGTACATCTTCTTTTTTAAAAATATTTTTATAGTTGTAGATGGACACAATATCTTTACTTATGAGCTGAGGATCAAACCCAGGGCTTCATGCATTCGAGGCAAGCGCTCTACCACTGAGCTATAACCCAGGCCAATAAAATCAATCCTATATATCTTCTTATATCAGCATTGAGAGATTGATTGCACGCACGCACTCTCACTCGCTCTCTCTCTTTCTCTCTCTCTCTCTCTTTTTTTTTTTTTTTGGTACCAGGGATTGAACCCCAGGGTGCTTAACTACTGAGCCACATCCCAGCCTTTCTATATTTTTTATTTAGAGACAAGGTCTTGCTAAGTTGCTGAGGCTGGCTTTGAACTGGAAGCCCTCCTGCCTTGCCTCAGTCCCCTAAACCTCTGGGATTACAGGTGTGTGCCACTGTGCCCCGCCTGACCTCATTCTTTTTAAGGGCTACTGGCTATTATTTGAAGGTACCTATAAGGGCTTATAGGGTTTTTCCAATCTGCTATTGCAATCACCTGCTGCAAAGAACATCCTATTTATACACGTTCATGCTCACGTGCGAGTCTGTCTGTAGGAAGAATTCCTAGAGTGGAATGCTGGGTCAGAGTAGGTACTTTGGAATCTTTGATAGATCCTAATGTAGCCAGCTGTCATCCCAGCAACTCAGGAGGCTGAGGCCAGAGGATCCCAAGTTCAAGACCAGATTCAGCAACTTAGTGAGGCACTAAGCAACTCAGTGAGACCTTGTCTCTAAATAAAAAGTAAAAAGGGCTGGGGTTGTGGCTCAGTGGTAGAGCACTTGTCTAGCACATGTGAGGCACTGGGTTCGATTATCAGCACCACATAAAGATAAATAAAGGTATTGTGTCTATTTACAACTAAAAAATATTTTTTAAGAGAGAGAGAGAATTTTTTAATATTTATTTTTCAGTTTTTGGTGGACACAACATCTTTATTTTATTTTATTTTTTATGTGGAGCTGAGGATCGAACCCAGTGCCCCGTGCATGCCAGGCGAGCACGTTACTGCCACATCCCCAGCCCTAAAAAAATATTTTTAAAAAAGGGCTGGGATGTGGCTCACTGGTTAAGCACCTCTGAGTTCAATCTCTGGTACAAACAAAACAAAACAAAACACCTGCTCAGGAGGTTCCTTTTTTTTTTTTTTTCTCTTGGATTATCTGTTTTTTCTACTGATGGTTTTATAAGAGTTTCTTAAAATACACTCTGATTATAAGGCCTTTAAAAAAATTAAGTACTGTAAATATAATCTCCTGCTCTGTGGTTTGCCTTATACTCTAAATTGGATGTCATTTGATCAGCAAAAGTTCTTAGTTTTTAAGCTTATAGTTAGTTTTTGTGTCCTGTTTATGAAGTCTTTGTTTAACTCAAGGTCATAGAGAGATTCTCCTATATTTATCCTGATCATTTAATTTTTCCTGGCCAACATTTGCATTGTAAGCTTAATTTCCAGGTCTGGAGAGGTGACATGAGCTCTGAATCTGCTCAGGGGACAAGGTGCAAGTTTCTGCTTTCTTGTGTGGCCTTGGAAAATTAGATAACTTCCCTAAACCTCACTTCCCTCACCTATAAAATGGGGATAGTAAATGTGCCAAATCTGAACAATGCTAACGCTTACCCAGAGCCTTGTACTGAGGATTGGGAGATGACATCTTGGCTCAGTTGAAAAGTGTGCAGGGGTTGATTAGTGATGTCTGCCTGGGACACGGGTTAAGAAAGGGGCTGTGTGCTATGCTTGTTATTAATGGATTAGCTGATTAGATGGGACGAGCTGAGTTCTGGATATAAACTCCTCTGGTTCAGCCCCCTGACAATGAGAGAATCGGGGGGATGGTCAGGTGAACTGATGCCCTGCTCATGTCTTTCTGGGCCTGCAGAGTTCACCCATGCAGGGCAGGGTGGGCTGATTGAGGAGCCCACAGGTGACGAGCTGCCAACCAAGAAGGGGCGGAGGAACCGTTTCAAGTGGGGCCCAGCATCCCAGCAGATCCTGTTCCAGGCCTATGAGAGGCAGAAGAACCCCAGCAAGGAGGAGCGAGAGACCTTGGTGGAGGAGTGCAACAGGTGGAGTGGTGGTGGGGGTGGGGCTGCCTGGGGTGGGGCTGGGGCAAGGCCAGGAAGGTAACTCTGGATCTGAGGAGGGCTCCCCAGTTCTTGAGAGCTCCTGCTGTCAATGAATGTGGCTTGGCCCAAAGAGTTGTGAGGACTCAACAGCTGCTCAGTGTCTTGAACCTCATTCTATTCCTAGTGTCTCCCACCCACCAAGGTGAATATTCACCTCATTCCAACCTCTCCACAACCCCATGGCTGTTTTGCTCATATGATAACTGAGGTCAGAGAGGCTAAGTCACTTGCCCAAAGTCACACAGCAGAACTGGTATTAGAATCCAGATCTGCCAGCCCCCAACACTCAGGTAGAGCTCAACTTCTCAGGACCTTCCCCAGGAGAGGGCTTCTCTGCGCCCAGCCTGGAGGCTCATGGGTGGCCATTTCTGCAGGGCGGAGTGCATCCAGAGGGGAGTGTCACCGTCGCAGGCACAGGGGCTGGGTTCCAACCTTGTCACGGAGGTGCGTGTGTACAATTGGTTTGCCAATCGGCGCAAAGAAGAAGCCTTTCGGCACAAGCTGGCCATGGACACGTACAGCGGGCCCCCATCGGGGCCAGGCCCAGGACCCGCGCTGCCTGCCCATAGCTCCCCTGGCCTGCCCCCACCCGCCCTCTCCCCCAGTAAGGTCCACGGTGAGTGCTATCTGGGGGGTAGATTGGGACAGCGGGTAAAGGGGCAAGCGGGTGGGCTGCCCCAGTGGCAGTAGACACCCAAACCTCTGAGCACTTGTTGGTTCCACTTTATAAGCCCAACACGCTCCCCCACACGTACTCCATGGACTCGTCCAGCCCATCCCACCCACCTGTCCTCCACCCGCGTCCAGTCATTGCCCCGCTCCATCAGAGCTGACCACTTCACCTCACTCCACTCGCCCTCTTCAATTCCACTGAATCTGACTGGGGTCACTGACCTCAGTGGACCACGGTCACCTCAGATCCACTGACTCAAACCCTGTTAGTTCCACTGAATCCAATTCGGTTCCCTTCAATTGTGTTCAACTCATTATAGGACAGTTTAGCTCACTTAAGGTTGGCCTCACTCAACCATTTCCCATTCAATCCCCTCAGTTTAACTAAGTGAAGTTCAAGGCAATTCGCTTTAACTTTAAATTTGTTTAATTCAACTTGATCCTATTCAATTTGGGCTTCATTCAGCTCAACTTGATCAAGCTCAGCTCATTTTCGTTCAATTCAACTAGATATAAGTTTAATACAGTCAGTTCTAGTTCATTCCATTGAGTCAAGTTCCCTCCAGTTTCCGTCCACTAGCTCCAGTGTAGCTCAGTTCCATAGTCATTCCTTGGGGTCTGCCAGAGGTGGGTTCCAGGACCCCCTGGAGATAGCAAAATCCAAAGATGTTCAAATTCCTTATATAAAACGGGGTAGTATTTGCATTTGAGCAGTTGGATCCTCTGTATTCTTTAAACCATCTCTAGATCATTTACAATATCTCAGACAAGGTAAATGCTGTGTAAATAGCTGTTACACTGTATCGTTTAGAGAAAAATGACAAGAAAAAAGTCCATTTGTGTCCACTACAGAGAAAAAAAAATGTTTTTCAAATATTTCAGTTGGCAGTTGGTTGAATTCAAGAATGTAGAGCCCACGGACATGCAGGGCTGACTGTAAAGCTTAATTCAACTTAATCCAATTCAGTTGGGCTTCATTCAGCTCAACTTAATCAAGCTCAGCTCATTTTCGTTCAATTCAACTAGATACAATTTAATTCAACTAGTTCCAGTTCATTCCATTCAGTTCCCTTCAGTTTACCTCCACTAGCTCCAATTCAGCTCAGTTCCATTCTCTTTTATTGAGCACCTACTGTATGCCAGGGATAGAACTAGGCAGCGGGCGACATGAAGCTGCAAGCACAGGCCAGGGCCTGGCCCAAGGTGATGCTCAGCAGTTTGCAGCTGCGGGAGGAAAGATGGGTCAGCTGACCTGAGCCAAGCCATGGAGTGACAAGGTCTGTGAGGCAGGAGGGGACAGGGAGGGTGCTGAGGCTGGACACTGTCCCCACTCCAGGCGTGCGCTATGGACAGCCTGCAACCAGTGAGGCAGCAGAGGTGCCCTCGAGCAGCGGTGGTTCCCTAGTGACAGTGTCCACCCCTTTGCACCAAGTGTCCCCCACAGGCCTGGAGCCCAGCCACAGCCTGCTGAGCACTGAAGCCAAGCTGGTGAGTGTCCCTGACCTGTGGCAAAAACCTTTCCAACCCCACTTTCCTTTGGCTAGGAGACCCCGGGGTGGTCCTCTGGGAGGCTGTTTGGGCCGCACCCTGACTCAGCTTGACTCCCCTTGGCAGGTCTCAGCCACTGGGGGCCCCCTGCCCCCTGTCAGCACGCTGACAGCACTGCACAGCTTGGAGCAGACGTCGCCGGGCCTCAACCAGCAGCCCCAGAACCTCATCATGGCCTCGCTCCCTGGGGTCATGACCATCGGGCCCGGTGAGCCTGCCTCCCTGGGCTCCACGTTCACCAACACAGGCGCCTCCACCCTGGTCATTGGTAAGCTGGTGGGAAGCCGGGCACCTGGGCGGGCACCTGGGCGGCTGCTGCAAGTCCCCTGCAGAATCTAAGGGGTCATTCATTCATTTGTTCCTACCTACAACACGCACTGTCTTTTCTTGTCTTTCTGTTTTTGGGGATTGAACCCAGGGCCGCTGAACCACGGAGCCACATCCCCAGCCCTTTTTATATTTTATTTAGAGACAGGGTCTTGCTGAGGTGCTTAGGGCTGTGCTAAGTTGCTGAGGCTGGCCTTGAACTCACGATCCTCCTGCCTCAGCCTCCCAAGCTACTGGGATGACAGGTGTGTGCCACAGCGCCCAGTGCAACATGCATTTTCTGAGTGCACAAAGGAACCAAATCAACCCAAATCTCAGAGAGCCCAGTGTGGAAGGCAATGAGCACAACACAAAATCATATAGTACCTCAGATTAAAAGGTGGGGAAATAGCACAGGGTGAGGGGGGCATGGATACTTCCTATTTTTTTTTAAAGCCCAGAAAGCCTTCTTTTGCAGAAATTAGTATGCAAATACACAACAAGACAGAGAGGGGCTGCTGGGAGGGGGCAGCAGGAGCTGAGCCCAGGAGCGCTGCTCTGCTGGGGAATACCGGGGTTCCAGGGCACCCAGTCTGACAACCTGGGCAGGGGTCGTTGCCCTCCTCTCCATCAGCTAACGGGAGCTAAAGGCTCAGAGAGGGGGACTCGCCAGGGTCATGTAAGTTCCTGGTGGTTCAGTGCAGGCTGCTTCCTGACTGCCCCACCCTCCCCTCTTTTCATCCGGGGCTTTGGGAAGGGGGTTGGTGCCTCCGGGGGTCTGGGCTGAGTCAAGGGGACTTCGGGGTGGTGGCTCAGCCGACTCCACCCTCTTGCCCCAGGCCTGGCCTCCACTCAGGCACAGAGCGTGCCGGTCATCAACAGCATGGGCAGCAGCCTGACCACCCTGCAGCCGGTCCAGTTCTCGCAGCCGCTGCACCCTTCCTACCAGCAGCCTCTCATGTCACCCGTGCAGAGCCACGTGGCCCAGAGTCCCTTCATGGCCACCATGGCCCAACTGCAGGGTCCTCACGGTGAGAGCCCTTGCCCTGGGCTGGGGCAGGTTGGCCGTGCTGGGGGCAAGGGAAGCAGCAGCGTGGCAGGTGCCTTGTCTGGTGTGGGCACGAGCGCTTCTGGGACAGGGTAGCTGCGGGTCACCTTATGTCCCCACGCGTGAACACACACGGGCGTGTGCACATGTGCGGCTGGAGGCTGCATTTCAGTGTGCTCTGCGTGTTCAGAGGCTGTGCGTCCCTCGGGGTGGGGGGGGGGGGGCAGGCCACAGCCCTTTCTCTGGAAGCCTGGAGTTTGCTGGTTGTGACTTTAGAAGGGTAGCTAGGTGGAAATGCCACGTGTCACACACTGTTCCCATCCCGTCATCAAGGGGGTCTCTGCAGCAGTTCCATGAAGCAGGTTGGAGATTCAGTAACTTGTAGCCGGGTTTTGTGTTGGGGGGTAGCTGCCAAATGAGCCCTGGGGCCACACCATGGGAACCTCTGGGCTTCAGACCTCTTTGGAATGAGGAATTGTGATAAGGGCCGTAGACCCCTGTGTGTGTGCGCATGCATGAGTGTGTGTGCATGTGCGTGCACAGAGTTCAAAGTGTACATCTTTGTGTGCCTGTGATGTCAGGCTTCATCTGAGTCCCTGAGAAGTGTCTGTGTGCCTCTTGGGGGTGCTGAGGGGACACACTGACTTATGTGTTGGAGAGCTGTCCTGCAGATGGAGGCATTACTGTCCTCTGCCCTGCTCACCTGGATGGGGCCACCTGCCTTCTCTTCTGAGGCCTGCACTTATGCAACAGCACCTGTGCTTAGTACCGTGGTGCTTGTGCTTAGTACAACTGCACCTGCACCGTCCCTTCCTTTTCATGCCTGTGGGCTCTAGGTGGTATGAGGAACTGGAATTGGTCGCTGGCCTTCCCCAGGTTCCTCCCCATCAATTCCAGCTGAGCAGGTCTGGGTAAAGAAGAGGGCCCCCCCTCCTGCTGGGGGCTGGGCATTCAGAAGGCCTCATGACCCCTTCCCCCACAGCCTGTTTTGAGGCCTCCCAGGGGAGTCCGGGGTGCCATGTCTGTATCCTCTTTCACTCCCTCTGTCCCCACCAGCTCTCTACAGCCACAAGCCTGAGGTGGCCCAGTACACCCACACAGGCCTGCTTCCGCAGACCATGCTCATCACCGACACCACCAACCTGAGTGCCCTCGCCAGCCTCACGCCCACCAAGCAGGTAAGGCACTGGCCTGTCTGGCCGTCCCGTGGCCTGTCCCAGAGCCTCTTGCTCCATGCACCAGGGCTCAGGGGACTGCTCTGGGCCCCCAGGTCTTCGCCTCGGACACTGATGCCTCCAGTGAGTCTGGGCTTCACGCGCCAGCCTCTCCAGCCACCACCATCCACATCCCCAATCAGGACCCTGCCAGCATCCAGCACCTGCAGCCTGCCCACAGGCTCAGTGCCAGCCCCACAGGTGAGTGGCGCTTGTCCCGTCCCTGCCCTGCTGTCCCTGAGTCGGGGCGTGGGGTGGGGTGTGCACAGAGGCAGGTGGGGGGCTAGTGTCCCAAACACGGCCTGGGTATCCAGAGTGCACCAGGTGTGTGCCCGGCCACAGGGAAACGGGGCCGAACTTATAGGACTAGGGATTGACTCAGTTAAGGACAAGACATGGCTCTGGAGAGGACGAGGAGCGAACTGGGCTGTGGACCAGAAGGGACCGGGATGTGTTTAGCTTGGCTCAGCTTTTGATATTCTTCAAATTAATGGGCAACATTTAAAAATCTGGAGTTTTCACAGAGGAATCTGGCATTCTGGTTTCTCCTGGGGAACTGGGAGTCCATGTTCCCTCTCCTCAGTACAGGGTATGCCTTCCGGCCACTCTGACCCCACCCTCTCCTGGCCACATGCTGGTGACCCTGGAGGCCCCTGCCTGTGACCTATGGGTTTAGGAGCAGGCGCCTGGGAGTCGGGCTGCTGGGCACTGGGGCCTGCGTGGCCATCAGGACCCCTGAGTTTAGGCAGCTGCCCTCCCCGGAGGCCCTAGGTCCCCCGGCCCCGAGGGCTAGGCATTCCCAAGGGCACTCCATGCTTCAGCTCCTGCTCTACCCCATGGGGCATGCGCCTTATCCTCATTTTACAGAGGAGGAAGTGGACACTCGAGGTGACGGACCTGTCTCATCTACTGGGTGGCAGAGCCAGGACATGAACCCAGGTCCATCCCCAAAGCCCGTTCTCTCACCCCCATCCACCCGTCAGGGTTCCCCCAAGGCACAGGCCCAACAGGAAGCGCACTACACACAGGGAGAGTTACTTTAGGGAACTGGTTTGTGGAACTGTGGGGCTGGCAAGTGTCCTCTGTGGCTGGTCACTCAGGAGTTAATGCTGCGGTCTTGAGGCAGAATAACCTCTTCTTTGGTAAACTTCAGCTTTTGCTCTTCAGGCCTGAGGCTGACAAGCTGAGGCCCAACCACACGATCAGGGCAACCCCCTTCACTTAGCAGCCAGCTGACCCTAGACCTTAACCACATCCGCGAAAGGCCTTCCTAGAAACAAAATCAGCCTGGTTCAGCTGGCTGAGCTGACTGCAGCTCCCATGCCATCTCGCCTGACCTCTGTAGTGTTCCCACTAACATATCGTGAGGAGGCTGCATTCTGGGTGGCCCCAGGTAGAGGCCTGGCACTGGGTTTCTGGAACCTCGGAGGCCCTGCCTCTCCTGCCTTGGGGGAGGTGTGTGGGGTGGGCCCAGGGTGTGGCCGGCAGCCAGCAGCCTCCCTTGCCCCCCGCAGTGTCCGCCAGCAGCCTGGTGCTGTATCAGAGCTCCGACTCCACCAACGGCCACGGCCACCTGCTGCCATCCAACCACGGTGTCATTGAGACCTTCATCTCCACACAGATGGCCTCCTCCTCCCAGTGACCTCGGCAACTTCCTACCAGGGGCTGGGCCCTGGAACCTGCACTGCCTGCCTGGGGGGTGACAGGCAGCAGTCACCACCACCAGGAGCACTTCTGAGCCTGCCACAGGGCTGCTGTCTCCCCTCAGTCCCCACCTCTCCCTCTGCCAGCATTGGAAAGGTACGGTTCTGAGGAGCCTCAACCCGAGGAGATTGTCACTTGCCTAAGAGGGGACTGTGGAGAGTGGGAAGCAGAGCTTGTTCCTGGCGGGACCCTCTGTCTGCTGAAGTCGAAACTTGTTACTTGGAAGAGAAAAGGGCAGCCTTGGGCTCCTGTGCCCCCAACGCGGGCCTGTGGACAGCCCTGGGACTCACGGGGCTCTGGCAGCCACCTTCTCAAGGCACAAGCCTGGGAGCTGTGACTCACTGAGCTCTGCAAGTCCCTGAGTCAGCCCTAGGTCAACGCAGCTGCATAGTCACCTCTGCCTCCACAGGCCACTCGGCCCTGCTGCAGGTCCTCCCAGGGAGTGAGACGTGTGCCCATTTGTACCCTTGCACCAGGCATGTCGCAAGGGGTTGCTTTCTCCCAGGCCTGGGGCTCAGCGCCCAAGCCCTAGGCAGCTCAGGCGAACCGGGAGGTCACGCAGGGCTCTCCTGCCGCCCTCACCCCACCCACCTCCTCTCCACGGCCCCAGGACTTCTCATTTTCCTGGACATTTGCTCCTGATCCTCAAGCCTTCTGAAGCAGGCCTGGCATCTTGCCACTACCAGAAAGACCACTTTGGGGCTAAGGGGCCATCCTTGCTCCTGTGACCAGTTGTGTCAAGCCCAGGTCCCAGGGCAGCAGCTCCTCTGGCCTTGGGGCGCCTGCAGGCCCTTCCCTGGTTGGAGACGGGAGGTTACTGAGCTCCAAAGGCAGCAAGGCCTGAGCACCAGGCAGAGCTGGGGTGACCGAGGGAGAAGAGAGTGGCAAGATCAGCAAAGGGACCACCTGTGTGGTCGCACTGATGTTTGGAGCCCTGCTGGCTGAGGACTGGGGCCTAGGCAGTTGGCAACCACCCTGAGGAGTCTGAGGTCCTGAGTGTCATTGGGAAGGGCAAAGCAGCTGTGAGAACCTTGTCTCCTGGGCCTGCGGTGGAGAACCCAGGCCTCAGTGGGCAGCCTCTACCTGGGACTGAGCAAGGGTTCTGGGGAGACCCAGCACCTCTGTGGCTCATAGCCAGCTGGGGGGGAGGGACTGTACATTTATTTAACTTTTAGTAAAATCTCTAAGAAATGTATGGAAACTCGTTGCTTGTTAATGAGTCTCCTAGCTGGGGGCTGGTCAAAAGGAGGGAGGCTGTGGCAGGCTGGGGCCTGAGGCCGGAGACCGGCTGAGTGCGCATGCTCGCAGCTGCCTGGTGAGACTCAGGCAAGATGAGGAAGCCGGAGCGGCTACTTTGCAGGACACCCTGCTGCATGAAACCAGGTCCACAGGTGCTGGGACACTTCCTGAAGTCTCGAAGCTAGGTGAAGGGGCACTTGCAGGTAGGTGGGAGGATTCCACATGGGATGTCACTGAAAATAGTTCATGAGAATCCAGCATGATGGGGAGGACGTGCCCAACGCATTCCAAGCACTGGGTACCTCCAGTTTCCTTTTTTTCATTTTGTGCTGGGGACTGAACCCAGGGCCTTGTGCCTGCTAAACATGTGCTTTTCCACTGAGCTACATCCCCACTCTAACAATTTATTTTATTTTTTTTGGTACCAGGGATTGAACTCTGGGGCACTCAGCTATATCCCCAGCCCTATTTTGTATTCTATTTATAGACAGGGTGTCAATGAGTTGCTCGGTGTCTTACTTTTGCTGAGGCTGGCTTTGAACTCGCCAATCTTCATGCCTCAGCCTCCCAAGCTGCTGGGATTATAGGTATGGGCCACTGTGCCCGGACTGACAATTTATTTTTGATGAATTAGTTGGCTCGGAGACATCATTGTGTATGATAAATTCATAAATGTGGAGAAAGAAAATTCTGGAGAATGGCACAAGGGGGTGGAATCTTTCCTCTTTTGCAGTTCTACCAAGCTTATGTGGGCTAGAGGGAGGAGGACAGAGGTTTCCCTGGGCCTTGGCACCTTGGGGGCTCCTTCCCTCATTTTCTAAAGAAGACATTTTCTACACCAAGCTGAAGAGGTCGGGGAGGGAAAGAGAACTTGCCCATCTCAGAGGGTAAGAGGGAGATGACAACTTTTAACACTCGGCCACTAGTCTTAAAGAGCTGGAAGACTCTTTCCTGAGGCCATGGAATGTTCTGGAACCACAGGTCCACCCCGGCCCTCCGTGGAAACACGGGGATAGGCCTTGCTGAGGCTTCTCTGCCCAGACTCTGGGCCAGGCCCCAAACTGTCAGGTCTGTGGGTGGAGGCAGCTTGCCAGCCAGGTGCTCTCAGGTGGAATCGCGGTCCGCCGCCCTTGGGTGCCTTGTCCTCAAGCCGGGGACGGCGCCCACAGACTGGTCAGTGGGCAGGCGCAGCGGCTGTGCTCTTTGCTGGTGAAAATGGTGACGCCTCGCTGGCTTTCTTTGCCTTTTTCTTCCTTTTCTTCTTTTTGGTCCCCAGTGATACCGGGTCCCCATTGGCCCTCCCTGACTCCCTTTCCAGGGTCTGGACTGAGGTCCCGCGGGCGGGGCTGATGGCTGCAGCTGAGCCAGCGCCCGCCCCCTCCTGGGCTTTCCTCCTCAGCCTCCTTTTCTTCTTCTTGGCCTCCGTCTCCACCTTGACAGGAACGTGGATGGCCGACTCCTGCAGAATGTCTGAGGCTGACACAGCCGCCTCCCGGCACCGCTGCCACTCCTCATCACTGTCCTCACTGCTGCAAGGGGAGGGTAGTGTAGGTCAGCTGCGGTCAGGGCAGGTCCCAAAGTCGCCTTCCGCCGCCCCCCCTTGGTCAGAGTCTAAGATAGAGGCAGTTCGAGAGCGAGCGCAGGCTTGGGAGTGGGGCACACCTGGGCTCTAGTCTTCTCTGCCAGAAACCCTGTGACCTACACCTCATTAAGTGACTTAACCTCTCTGACCCTTAGTATCTTCATCTACAAAATGGGGATCTTAGAATCCAGACCTCACAGGGATGTCTTAGGAGGCAAATACAAGAAAATAAGGAGTCTGACCCAAAATGAGTGCTTAAAAAAAGTACAGATCTACCCCAAAGAAGCCCAAAACACCCTGCCTGCTGGGTGTGCCTCTCCAGTTACCTGACAGGCCCCTTCTGCGGCCTGTTGGTCTGGCATCTGCTTCATTACACCAGGGGGACAGCCAAGACGGGAGGAGAAGACAGGAGGGGCTGTGAGGAGAGGAGTGGACTCTCACCTGGAGGTGGAGGGCTGGCGCTTTGGGCGGGGGCAGGGAGAAGCTTCCTCTTCGGGGCCTCCAGGGATGGATGTGAAGAAAAGGCGAAAGCCTAAGATTCACAGGGGCAAAGTCAGCGCTGCTGGATGCCAACCTCTCCTCTCCCGGGTGCTGAGGCTGACGGCCTCTGCCCTCAAGGAGCCCCTGGTGCAGAGCTGAAGACCTGGGAGTCATTGTCGTGCGACTGCAAACTAAGGCCTCATCTGAGAGAGGCCTGCTCCATACCTGATGGGCCAGGACATGCAGTGTTTGCAGGGCGGCAGCTGCCAGATTGGGGCAGTGAGCCCTCAGAAGCTTCTGGAAGTCACTAGTTAAGCCTCCCAGTACCTAAGGCAGCCTCCAATGAGCTCACAGAGCTGGGCAGGGCAATGGACTCAGGGGGGAGCCTGCTCCTGCTCAGGGTCAGACAGAGGAGCTTAGTGCAGACAAGTGACTCTGTCTCAGAGCCTCAGTTCCCTGTCTGTGCCTGGGGTATCGTCACCCGCCTTAGGGCAGGGCCTGAGTGGGTGAAAGGACATAAAACACCCAACTGTCTGCCCAGCTCTAGGTCACAACAGCTGCTGTTTGCAGTGACTACTCACCGTCATCCTCCGGGGCCACCTTGTGTTTCTTAGCTGTCTTTGGCGCCTTCACTACCTCTGAGATGGTAATGGAGCTAGGGGGAGAGGAGACGGTTGATTAGGGTGTGATTTGGGGTAATGACAAAAGCAATTTTTGTTTTTAAATTTAAAATACATTTATTTTTAAGTGGAGGCGATGGGGCACATGATCCTAAATGCAAAAGTGGAGACCACACTGGCCTGGTAAGAAGGCTGAACCTTCAGCCGTGACAGCGCAACAGCAATAGCCCCTTCTGATTCTGCAAGGTTTCTTTTGTTTAAACCTTACCATAATTCCAGAAAGTACTGGAGAACTTTTAAAGATACAGTACAAAAAAAAAAAAGTAATTTCAACAGGGCAGAGAAAAAAAATGGGAGAAGGAACAGGAAGAGCCGGAAGTGTGATGAGGGAGTCTTTCCTATGTACTTTACTTACTGGAGAAAGGCCACAGATTTTGCTTTGAGCTTACTGCAGAATAGCATGAAAAGGGAAATAGGACCAGTCTAGAGAAGTGGTTCAGAAGTCAGCTTCTAGAACAGGGCAGAGCTGCTCATTTTTTTCCTTCTTTTTTTTTGGACCACTGAGCCACATCCCCAGACTCCTCACCACCTTTAAAAAATTTTTTTATTTAGAAACAGGGTCTCACTAAATTGCTTAGTGCCTCACTAAATTGCTGATGCTGACTTTGAACTTGCAATTCCGCTCCCAAGCCTCTGGGATTACAGGTATGTGCCGCCGTGCCCAGCTTTTTCTTCATTTTAAAAGAGTTTGAGATAAATATAGATTGACAGGCAGTTTCAAGAAATAATAAAGATTCCAAATACCATGCAAAACTACAGTACAACATCATAACCAGGAAACTGAAATTGATACAATTCACTGACATTAGTCAGACTCCAGAGTCCTCTGCGCTTTTGTGATACTGAGGATTGAACCCAGAGGTGGTGTACCACTCAGCTCCATCCCCAGCCCATATTACTTTGAGACAGCATCTTGCTAGATTGCCCAGGCTGGCCTTGAACTCGCCATCCTCCTGCCTTAGCCTTCTAAGTGTCTGGGATTGCAGCCATACCCACTGCGCCCAGCAGAGGCCTGGGTTTTGGATGCTGGCTTTGTTACTTACTGCTGTGACCCTCTGGCAAACGACTCCACTTGTCTGAGTCTCTGTCACATTTCTGTAACTGGGAGCAACAACGGTCCCTTCCTATTAGGGCTGTCAAAAGGATCAGATGAGAAAATGGATGTGGAGCCCTTGGCACAGAGCCGGCCACAGCAGGTTCTCAGGACACAGGAACCATGGGGGGTGGTGGTGGTGGAGATGATGATGTCATCAGCTTCCTAGAACCTCTCACAGAAACCAGCCACAGCTCTCTAGAGGCAGAGGCCAGGAGGTGGGTCCTGCTGTCTGCTGAGGTAGAGTCATGCCCTGCAGGACCGGCGCTCTCTGCCATTACAGCAGGCCTGTGGCATGCGCTCAGCGCTTTTCCTAACTTCCCTCTGCATAAGCCACAGGCATCTCCCAAAGCCCTGTGCAGGGAAAGAATTTGGGGAGAGGGAGTGGAGATAATGCTGTCCAGGCCCTAGTCTCTGACCTGACAGAGCGGCTCAGTGTAGGTCCCTGGGTGCATGTGGCAATGCCTGGAGACACAGTTGTTTGTCATGACTGGTGGGGCAGGTGCCATTAGCACCTCCTAGGTTGAGGTCAGAGAGGCTGTTGAGCATCCTGTGATGTGAAAAGCAGCCCACAACAAAGAGTTATCCGGTCAAAAATGTCCAGTGTCCAGGTTGAGATGTCCGATCTAATAGAAGGAACCAGCTAGGGTATCATTTTGGAGAGAAACATGAAGCAGTACAGGGACTATTCTGGCCATGGTGACGAACATTCTGCTGGACTGCCACCCAGGGAAGCATCTGTGCTGGTTCAATGCAAAGCCAAATGGTCATGCAGAAAAACTGCTCCCTCAGGCTGAGTTGACCTGGCCTTCCTGAAGCCCCTTCTGATCCTGGAGTTGGGGACCTGGAACCAGTGCCGTGGGGGCTCAGGCTGCTGGGCTCTGGCCCTCTGGTCAGCCTCACAAGAACAGCTGTTCCACACGTGGGAAGGCCCATCTGTCGTTTTGCATATTTACTTCAAATTGAAGGACCATGGCCCCAAGTGCTCGTCTCCTTTCAAAACCTGCCAGGACTGTCAATTAGAAATGGACGAGAAGCAGCCTGCCCTGCGATGTGTTCCACAGTACGGGTACTGATCTATGAGGCCAGGCCACATACTGTGGCTGAATGAGTTTGGAAAA